GGTCAGTCATTTCATGTATAGAAGTACCTTGGCTTCTGCGTGTTATTTTGATAACAAGAAATGTCTATGGAAAGACTGTATATACTTTCAATTACAAAGAAGAAGACGAAGAGAAGTGGACTATTGTCGAACTCACAAATTGTGGAGATAAAGAGATTTATACTGTTCCAAAGTACAACCCAAGTTGGGTGACACAATCAAAGGACACAATATTTAATGTCAGTCTTATTGAAGAAAGAATGAACAAATCAATACACAAAATTACTAATAAAACTATAAACAACAATAAAAAGAGTTCTTTGGAATTTGAATGTGTGGAAGAAAAGATGTTGAGAGAAATGAAGTGTAAAACTATTAATACAAACACCAAACAAAGACTTGTAGAAACTTTACTCGACTTTAATAAATACACAGACTGTCAAGTAGAAGAGTTAATAACATCAGAAGCACTTTTAAATGAATTAAACAAACTCGACAAAATTAAGACTAAAAACAGTATTAATGTGTTTGTTAAAGCATCTTCTGTAACTAATGAGTATCTCCACTTTGTTAATAGTCTTGGGGATATTCATCAACTTAAAGAAAATGACGTTCAAAAGAGATATGAATTAACACGTGTCACAAGTGCATATGAACTTAATTATAACGTTGATATTCTTCAGAACACACCAATAGAAAAACAGCAGAGTAACGTCTCTGTGTTATGGGGACAGTGTTTATCAACAAATGAAAGTGATACATTTGAGAATGAAAATACACTTAAAATTGTGATTGAACCAACATTAAGTGAAATGTACTTGGTGAGTGTTATAGATAACACAAAAACTATTAAAAGGTTGTGCAGCTTCGAAATTCTGCCATCTTTTATTCAAGAAATAATCATATCAAAAATATCACACAATTTGAATATAAGAGAACCTATAAAACAACGAGAAACTATTATTTATGGTTTAAACAACTTCACTGAACCAAAATTAAAGACCGGATTTGCTAAGTCATTTTTTAACACTAATCACATGTCGTTGGCTATTCAATCTAAATTTGGAAGCGATTTTGTTGAAATAAAGAAAATGATCAACACAAGACAAACGACGGGACTGATATCAAAAAGTACGCCAATCTCTCCACCAGAACATAAATATCGACCTCTTAGTGTTATTCTCCCAACTAAGAGTGGAAGAATAGATTTGTCCGGGTTAAGAAATAGTCCCGATTTTCTTATTGAACGACCACATAGAAAAACTTTTCAAAAAACACCAATTCAAAAAGAAAAAAGTTGTGATTTGATCGAACACAAAACTGTTGAAAAAGAAGAAAAGGTCGAAATATCAAAGGAAGTCAAAGAACAAAGAAATGAAGCAACTAATCCTGTTGTTACTGAACAAAACGTTATGATGCATACTACAAATGTGGCTAGAAAGAAGTTTGTGGGGAGAAGAGGGCAAATTAACACAAAAACAACGGAAAGTTTAATAAAGTGATAATTTATTGTTTCAAATTTTTTGTTACATAATATAAATTATATAAAGTCAGTCTGGAAACCTTATTTATTCCAAAAACCTTATTTATCGACAAAAATAGGTTATTTTTTTTGTTATTTGGTTTTGTTTTTCAAAATTATTTTTTTTTGTTTGAAATCTTTGTTTTTTCAATTCAAACGAACTTAGACAAATTGACAAATTTGATTTTTTACGCTCAAACATCGCGTATAACACCAGAGAGTGGTGCCGTTGTTGTAAGCAGCGGTTGGGTGGATTTTTGTGTGTGAGATGACAAATGCAACACGAGAATTCGACAATAATCAACTTGGATTTAATTAAATAATTCATAAAAAACAACGAGACAATCATAATCAAAAGAACACCACGCTTGGCAGACTCGAACATCGAGTTGTTGTACTGCAGTCGGGTAAAAGTTGTTTATAATAAATTGTCTTGGCTGCGTGGACGTCATTTCGCTCTTTGTAAGAGTAGAGTCAGTCTTTTAACGTTATCTGGTGGACAAAAAATACTTTCATTT